TTTATTCATTGGGGGGTATTTGCCATAGTTGCCACGCTTGGCGAGCGGGTTGGCAACCGCAGTTTTTTATTACGTCACAGTTGTCATCAGGAAGACGCTGCTGCCCATCTCCTGCCTGTCTCCCTCTGTCGCCTCTTACGACACCCACGGGAAGATATGGGGTAGTGGATATTCTTAACCGCCACTACACGGCAATTATATGTTTACATGCAACAATAATAAACAAATGATAACCTATTAACAAATCATTTACATAATTAATTCATGTAATTTAAAAATGTATTTTTCATTATATAATTTGATTGTTTACACATTTTCACTATTAAATAAAAATAAAGAAAATATTAGTTTCAGTTAATTTAATGAGAACCCCTATCTCAGGGTAAAGGCCTCCTCCATTTTTGACCATTGTTTTTTATCTTTCGCCTTGGTTTGCCAATCATCTCCTGCTATGTCTTTGATGTCGTCAATCCACCTTCTAAGTGGCCTCCCTCGTTTTCTTATACCCTTGGGCCCTTTCCCTACCACGACTCGACGCGTCCATCGAGCATCCTCTATTCTAGCTAGATGTCCTGCCCATTTCCACTTCAATTTCATCGAGTGGATTAAGAAATCAATTTGGTTTGTTTTTTCTCTTATCTTGGTATGGCGTACTTTATCTCTCCTTCGGAGTCCTAGGATAGATCGTTCCATAGCAGCTTGACATATTCTGATTTTTTCTTTTGCCTGTTTTGTATATATCCAAGTTTGCGAACCATACGTTAGGCAGGGAAGGATGCAACTATCCATTATTTTCTTTTTCGTAGAAAGCGGCATGTCTCCTTTCATTATTTCCTTGTGAGCCAGTATTTTTTCCAAGAAATATTTATTCTCCTTATTATTTCTTCTATGTTATTATTTTGGTGGAATGATACTTGCTTTCCAAGGTAGATATAGGTGTCTACATATTCAAGCTTTTCGTTTCCTATCTTTATTAATGGTTTTGTAGAATTGGTCATCAGTTTAGTTTTCTGCAGGTTCATTTGTAGTCCTACGCGAGCGCTTTCTGCCTGTAGATTTTGTACCATTTGCTCTAATTGTGAACTTGTGTCTGAGAATAATACTATGTCGTCAGCAAAACGTAAATGGCTGAGATAATTCTCATTTATTCTAATACCAACATTTTTCCAGTCAAGGTTTTTGAATATAATCTCAAGTACGGCGATGAAGAGCTTAGGGGATAAAGGGTCGCCTTGTTTAACGCCTCTTTTTATTTTTATGTCTGGGCCACTTATTTCCAGGCTAATTCTACTTGTGCTTCTTTCGTAGATGTCTTTAATTATATTACAATAGATGTCTTCTATGTTGTTCGCCTTCAGCGCCTCCCATATTGAAATGTGTGAGATAGAGTCGAATGCTTTTTGGTAATCTATAAATGCTAAATAGAGAGGCTTTTGAAATTCCTTATATTTCTCAACTATGTTCTCCAGTTTGAATGTGATCTACGGTTGAATATCCTCTACGAAAACCAGCTTGCTCTACCGGTTGATTTCTATCAATTTTTGCAGATATTCGACTTAAAACACACTGTGAGAAAAGTTTGTAAAGGCTATGTAGTAAACTGATGGGTCGATAATTTCCAATATCTCTTGGATCACCTTTCTTATAGAGTAATATAATACTTGATTTAGTCCACTGCTCGGGAACTCTGCTCTTTATTTATAATGTTGAATAAATAAGTTATCACCGGTGTTAGCAGTGTTCTTGTCAGCTTCAGTGCCTCATTGGGAATACCGTCTGGTCCTGGGCTCTTGTCTGATTTTAGCCTCTTTATTTCTCTATCTATTTCAGTTTCGGTCCAATCGATAATCGTTTGATTTTGAAAGTAAAATTTATGATTTCGAAATTCCCAAGGTCTTTTTGGTCGTAGAGCTTTGCATAGAACTTTGCTGCTACTTTGAGGATGTTTTCTCTATTAGTTGATGGAATAGAGTTTTCTAATAAGCTGGGTATCCAAGGTTTGTGTGAGTCATTATATACTTTTCTATTGTTTTTAATCTGTGGAAATTGTAGTCTTCCTGATATTTTTGTTTGTCATTTTGTATATAAAGCTGAGTTTTATTTTGTCTTCACGACTTTTAGGTTTGAGATTTTGTAGTTCGTGGCGTTGTTTAATTAGACTTAATGTTTCCTTAGTCAGAATGTTGTAAAGTTTCAGTTTCTCTACTTGTTTGTCTGTTTTCATGCTGTCTATTAGACATTTTTCTAGATTATTGTATAAAGTTTGAACCGTGTGTGTGTCTTCCAATTTTATAGATTTTAAATTCTGCTCTAGTTTTTCTAGGTAATAATTAGTTTCACTTTGGTTTCTCAATGTGCACATATGAGTTTTAAATTTTTGACGACTCTTTTTGTTCGATTTGAAGGATATTTTTGATCTAACCATTCTATGGTCTGATGGGAACATAATGTTATTTAAAACATGCACATCTTGGAATCGGTTTGGAAAATTTGTGAGTATATAATCTATTTCATTTTTGATTGTTTGGTCAGGAGACTTCCACGTCCACTTATGACTGCTCTTTTTCTTGAAAAAAGAGTTCATAATGGATAGGTTATATTCTTGCGCATAGTGTATTAATTGTTGACCTCTAGGGCTTCTATTTCCAAAACCGTACTTTCCAAGATGTTTGCTTTCTTCGAAGTTCCCCTTCCCTACTTTCGCGTTAAAGTCGCCCATAACTATTACATATTTTCTTGAAGCTTCATGGGCTCTATGAAGAGCGTTGTAGAAGGTTTCGATTTCCGACCATTCAGACTCTTCAGTAGGTACATAAACTTGTATAATAGTTATTGGTAGGTCATGTAAATCGACATCCAGAAGAACTACACGATCGGATAAACCCCTAAAGCTTTTGATATAGGTTTTTAGATGCTTTTTTATTATAAATTCTACTCCATATCTTCCCCTTATCTGTACATTGTAGCATAATATAAAATCATCGTATTCGTCCACTCCGTAGCCGAATCTTCTCATAATGATTTCTTATATTTACGCGAACACTACACATTGAAATAATACTAGTTTTTACGGAATTTATCGCGTATATTTAACTTTTTAATTACCCGACGTTTTGAACGCTTTACAGCACTCATGGTCACGGGCAGGACTGAGATGTTCAACGTCCATATGTCATAGTTAACCGCGGTTACCATAGATTAAAATTTAACTTTTGTTCCGATCTATGCAGTATGAACTTATGGTATCTTGAAGTCTTGCAGTTGTATGCTTGGGTTGGGATTTAATTTTATTTATTATAGGATCCCAAGCAGATGGTAGCACCCAGCCATCTTCTCTATTGAAATTAGGATGTTTTTTGATTTCAATAGCCTCGCGAATCATCCTTGGAAGGAATCGGTGTTCTTTAGCGAGGATCTGCGGTCTATCAAATCTGATGTAGTGACGGGGGCGATCCCATAGACATCTATATTTAACCTAGCTTAAGAAGCAAAATGCAGATACGTTATCACCCTTGAGGACTAAAATGAAATGCTTCGATTCCAGTAAAATGGGTATCTGGTTGTCTACACTCACCACAGGAAACACAGCAGCATCAAGCTGCTATTTTACGCTGGTATTCTGTGAGAGCGTGGTCCTTCCCCGGTCGAGCCGACCCATTCATGCTACAACTATAATAGCTGCAGTGTGACTCTACCACGTAAGAAAATATATAGTTAATTTTTTTTGATGATGATGAATGTTATTATTTTGATCTTTAAATGTTCCACTCATAAATCTGGTACGAATACTTAACGTAATTACGATTAAACGTAGAGTTTATATCAACTACTCTCTGATTATAGAGAAAAATTAACAAACTACGCAAAAACTAAATTATTTTTCCGTCAACTTTTTCCACAGTTTTTAATCAGGCAGCCCAAGCAGTAAGTTTCCACAGCCGTTTATAAAATGCACAGTCGAATGTACTGTGCAGTGAAATTGTCTATGCTCACGATCACGATCACTATGAGTATAAGTGATTTATTTTCATAACCCTCAACTTCAAGCAAATAATAAATTCGTTATGACAAACTCCAAAGTCAGCTATACATGATTGAATTGTGTATACTTACAAATTGTTTCAAAATTATGTGGGCGTAGACAGCAAGGGAAACACAATTAATTTTAATATCAAATTTAATTTCAATTTACATAGAATAGTTATTAGGCGACAACCGACAATGAAACACAGAATAACAAAGCGAAAGCAGTGATAACTGTGACATCACAATTCACGCTTGACAGGTAAATTTGACACTCCATAATGATATTTTTTGGTGTGTCAATTTATTTTAATTATATTGATCGACGTGTTTAGGAATTCGATTATTCAAAATTTTTAACCTTTAATAGGAGATTCAAGAAGAATCCGTTCTCATTGCACCAATACTAGTAGGGAGGCGGATCATTACGCATACCACGATAGCCGGTTTATCGTGGTATTGAGCGACTCACTGCCTATCGGGGGAACCTAAGTGATACCCTCTAAAAACCGTCTTTGGCGACTGGCAACTGGCTGTTTAAGCTTCTTATGCCGTATCGGAAGCGACCCTCTTTTGGGAAAAGAGGGCGCAGGGTTCTCATTGTTCAGAATTTCTTATTTATCGATTATGGGTTCTTGACATCGATGTTTCGATGTTTGACATGTGGCAGCATAGATGATAAAATATCGATGATCATCGAACATCCCTACTTGCTACTAGTATCCTCTTAGTAGTCTGTGCTTGCTAGTTTCTAGTTTGCTACATATTTATCACAGATCACTATTTAGTCTATAATATTATAATATTTATTTACTTATCTATGATCCAGTATATATACAGTAATCTATGTCTATGATGTAGTATTGGGTTAAAATCATAGATAAGAGTGTATATACGGAAAGTTAAAATTAAATAATAAATATTATGTAATTAATATAACCGGTACGAAATAAAAGCTGTAAACATCATCTACCAAAATGAATAAAATATTTGCGTTAAGCGGTTTAAGACGTTTGAAGGACTGTAGCAGATCTGTATCTACAAGGATCACAGCAGATGGGAAAGAAGTGCCCAAAAGAAAGAACATTGAAAGTAGGATAACGTTAATTGGATCTGACAACTCAGTTAGTATAACAGATCTAAAAAGCGCTCAGAGTTTGTCTCTCAGACGAGAGTTAAAGTTAGTTAAAATTCAAGATGTTGACACAAAAACTAGGCGTCCTGTATACAAGTATGTATGTGTGTAGTTAAATTTTTATTTCATATGCATTAAATGATTAGTTAACTTCAATAAAAAATACTTTATATGAACTTCCACAGTCCAGTCCAAAGTGTGGATAAAATTGTTTTTCCATGAAGGTCACGATCATAATTTCATTAATTATTTTGGTGCTACAATTTACAGGATTACCAATAAAAGGTGTTAATTACTTTATTTTCAACAGACTATTGACTAATGCTCAGTATCATGAAGAGGAAATTTCTAGGAGAAAAGAAAAACAGGTGTTAAAGGAAAATGAGCTTATTAAAGGACAAAAACTGATTACGTTATCTACTAGAATCGCTGAACATGATCTCATGACAGGCATTAAGAAAATGTTGAAACTTTTAGATAAGCAATATGAAGTTAAAGTTGTAATTACTGGTGGTGAACAAGATGCTGTTCAAAGTTTGGTATGTAAAAAATGTTAAATCACACCTTCAATGAGATATGATTGTGGTCAATATAGTATAAAGGTAATCATTTCTTCTGAGGTAGTCAGTTATAATACACTCAGTGGCATGAAATCTTGACCAAAGTGTTTATCATGTAATAGCAAAAGTATGAAGTAGGTATCTATCTATCAATTTTCTTATGAAGGTGTATCAAAAATTGTTTAGTTTTAGTTCAAGAGAATAATTTATTAAGGTTGAGTTGTATAAAGATGTTGAATATATATTCTAATTACAAAATATGTATTTAAAAAAAAATAATAATAATGTCCTCCAGACTGAATTCCGGCCACGGCAGCCTGCCTCAATGGTGGCTAGCCATCGGTGCAGTACAAGATTATAGTGCCCAAGTGTATGCGCAAGCACAAGTGCACTCTCTATTCCCTCCCTTTTATAATTGTGATGGGATGGTAAACCGACACGACCAGAGAGAGATCAGGCGCAGGATCAACGGCTTTATGTGCTTTCCGAGGCACGGGGATGAGACACCGCCAACTTCCTTACTCCAGGCAGCTACTGAAAATTTCTTGACGGAAAAACTCAATAATTAATTTTTTGGCCCGACCTAGGATTCGAACCCATTTATTTAAAAAAAAATAATCGTCTACATAAAAATATTTGTGCCAAAGTAAAATAAAAGTCAGTTCCTAGCAAATTGAATTGTTGCAACAATCAGTGTAGAAAAAGACAATGATGTCATATCCATGATAAGTACAAGACCTTGACTCTGCTAGGGTCTGAAAATTCCTTAAAACTAAAAGAAGAAATTAGGAGCTGGGCAATTACAACAAAATTTCACTCACCATGACTAAAATCTCAATCTACTTAATCTGCATTTCTCATCTTCGTCTTGCATTAAAACACAAATGAACATTGATTCTTACTAAGGATGATACGGGAGGCTATTAAAATTAAAAACAACATCTTTTATGAATATATATAATATAAGAATATAATATAAGAATTATCGAGTGTTTGACGCCGATTAATTCGAATTAACACGTCGTTTTGTTACATAGCAATGATTTTTTTGTACGAATTACCAAGAGCATAAAAATGTATTGATTTGGTTTGAAATATAAAGAGATTTTTTGGGAACTAGTGATAACTTTGAATTATAGAGAGGATCGAATTATCGCAGGTTTAAATTAACGAGAGTCTACTGTATATAAAAGAAATTAGTGTATGAAAACCAATGAAACATTTCTCAGATGTTTATATATGTAGTGCATGTATTTTATAAAATGTTGTTAATTACAGGAAAGAATACAATCGGTGATAGAGAAAAACACAAAATCATCTGGAAACCTTGTCCAAAAAAGGATTAAGGGAAACAGTTTAAGATTTCAGTTGATTCCACTAAGGGAGAAGAGTACCCACTGTGATAACAATGGCTCAAACCAGGATGAAAAAACTCAAGTCAGTGACAAAGGTCCACTATGACTAGGTTTAGTTTTGCTTAGCATATTGGTTGTAAAGTATGTTATTTACAAGAAATATTTCTTTGCCTCACCTGATCACAAAAATGTTAATGATAAAAATAAGCAGTTTGCAGAATAAGGCAGGCATTTAGTAGATTTTTTAATTTCTTTTACGGGTGTTACAACATATAATTTTGTTAAGGTACAATCTTAATTTAAAAAAAAAAACAAAAAACAATACAAACAAAAATTATTCTTTTGTAAATATGTAATGTTTCACACAATTGATGTTGCAGTCATATACATATTTTTTATTATAGCTTGATTTTTGTTTGAAAACAGAGAGTTGGACGCATTCAGTGCCGGCAATAGAATTTGTGTTTTCTTCTTCAGGTTCTAAAATATTCTCACTTCTTCACTTATACCCCAAGCCCTAAATCAACTACATGCAGATATGAACTTTTTTTTGTTGGCTTTAACAAGAAAAAAAAAACATGTTTACAGTTCATATGCGGTAAAAGTGAAACCTTCCAATTAAATAAAATATAAAATAAAAATATTTCACGCCAAATGATTTATTTAGTACGATCATCTTTTTAAACCACAAGAGCGGCATAAAATATAAGATGAAAGTGTAATTTTATAGAAAATAAATGTTACAAACCTTATTTTTAGACTTAATTTTAGTGTAATAAATCAAAAGAATATTTTCTTTCGTGTAAAGTTTCTTTGTAATAGCCCCATCTACTTCATGCTATAGGTAAAGTCAATTTTATCATACAAAAATTTATTGACTCTCAACATGGTATGTGAACTAGAAGCTAGATGACCTACAATTATGAAATCGTGGATTGGTATATTTATTTAATATATATGGTATTATTTTATTTATTTAATACATTTGTAAATTTGTTGAATAAAATATTTCTTTATTTAATATTTTTTTAAATGTTTTCCCACAACCTTTTGAGTTCGCTGTGTACACCGTATTCAATCACATTCCCTCGCCGGCTAAATCCTCTAGTTGTATGCTTGTCTCTTTTTGTGTAACTGTTTTGTTTCATACAGTTTCAAATTAAGATTCTAAAGCAGTTTTCACTTCAAAAATCCAATGCCGTTTAGCAGTAATTTAATTTAAAACAAGGTTCGAAAATGTTTACACCCGTGGCTGTATGTAGGTATTAATTGTGAATTATAGATGCGCAAGCTTTAGGGTCCGCTGAATAAAAGCATATTTTATGTTTGCCGGAACTTTACTTCCTAAATTATTTAAATAAATGGAATATTTACTGTAACTTTCACCCCTCCCCTTAACTATTGAAGAATATTGAAAAGTATGAAATGGGCAAGGTCTATACGACTATAATTTAAAAATGAATAAAACTATGTAACATATTTTTAAACAATATATGTATCCCCTATATCCTAGCCATGAGTGTGTGCTGTGAAAATTATCTGTTTTTAAGAATTTCAATGCTAAATGTTTGTAATTAATCAAAAGTACCTGTTAACAAGTTGCTATTTAAAATATCTTCACTTTAATATGTCTCGAATACGAAGTTTTCACGGCCGTACTAATATGGCTACGACATTCAAACAATATCGTAATTTATAGTCCCTCAGAATTGCTTTGGCTATGGTAGCTGAACGGGATTTATTATCATTACCTAAATTTCGAGCCGAGGTAGCTCAGGGGTTAAGCGCTCGCTGTGAATTCCACAATACGCGAGCAACCTAGTTATATCTCCGTCGGCACCAAAGAAATTTTTAATTGCAATTTTAAATGCTGATTTACTACGTGTTTGGCGGTGAAGGAAAACATCGTGAGGAAATATGCATGTCTGATAAATAAAAAATATTTGATAAATAAATATACACGCAGCACCACCACCACGAATTCCCAGAAATAACTCTTTACACCCGATGGTTTTTATTTTCAAAATTCTCTACGTCATGTTTTTTATAGCATTCTATACAGCCTTAGGTGCTAAGAAAAAATTCTAGAAAAAATCTCAAGTGTATAGATAACCCAGGAGTTAATCCTCACGATCGTGAGGGTAATTTAAATTGAACGTTTATCTTGATAGTTGGATGGATAAAAAAACAAATGTTTACTTGTTTACGAGCTTAGTACTTTAATCAGTCATTCTAGTATCAGTCCACATTATAAAACTTACTATCTAATCCTTAATTCTTAAAAAATCAACATTGGTAACAAAGACCATAATTTTTTTTCATAATTTGCAACAAAACAAGAAAACTTCTAAAACTTAGCAAAGTTATATAATTTTAAAAAAAATAAGGAACTTTCAAAGTTATGGCTTTTGGTGATATGATTTAAAACAGTCTTCCACGTGAGATGCACAAATAAGTATCACATTTTTCGCATCGTATCTTCGTGCGGCTGCCACAAGTTTCATGCAGACATCCTTGGGGCTTTAATATCGTCAAACACTGGAAAATGATCATAACCATCATATCTTTTTGCCTCAGAGGGTTTATTTTCCGGTCTGTAATGTTGTCTTTTAATTGGAAAATTCCATCAAACTAAAATAACTCACTTATTTAATGTTCTTTTAACTTGTAATTTACATAGAAACACTATATATCACCATATCAGTAAATAAATAATACAAGCAACAAGTACTTACCCGTGACGCTGCGAGGGTTTAAAAACGCCGCCATCTTTCATCAAGGCTCACAAGACCTCTATTCTTTGCACAAGACACTGATCGCCCGCCCCGCACCCGGGATTTTGTTAGCGTATGTGGGACTCCCGCACGGTTGATCGATGCCGGTTGCGTTCGCAAAAAGTAAACAATTTGGCGCCAGAATTTTTTAAAAGTAAAACTCACGCTCGTTTCAGCGAGGCCTGTGCCCAGCTATGGGACTGTGACAGGCTGTGGCTTTAAACTATATTTCGTTAGTGCGGACACTATTTTTGTCTCTATAACTTACCGTTATGTCATTAGTCTCCCTCTTGGTAAAAGACTTATTTTTAATGACCTTTTAATAACTCCTTTTTTATGCCTTTCATACCTGCTATAAGCCAGGCCTTGACTAATCCCTCTGATAGTAAGTGCTGATGGATCCAAAGATGGTAAAGTGCACTGTCTTTTCACTTCACTTTCTTTTCACTTCTGTCTTTATGACACCCACATTATAATCGGATGAGAAAACGGTCCAGGGAACGCAAAATAACATTTTTGAAAATTTTTCGTTTCGGCCTTTCTCGACCATAAAATAATTTTGTAAAGAAAACTTAATTAAATGCAGCAGTTAGTGTATAATGGAGTCAGCAGAACTCTAATTTTAAAATGAGCACCAGAGCACTACACCTTTTAGTGGGCGGTATCTCAGCATTGAACCAACACTGTCATTTGTGTGTCACCAACAACGCGAAGTCCGGAATTGACATTGAGAAAGAGCCAAAATTAGGGGCTTTTAGGTGCTAAAAAGATGCCAAGTTTTCCGCTCCAATTAATATATTAGGTATGGTTGAGCGACGGGTCTAAGGTTACCGAATTCAAATTCCCCGGTCGAGCCTTAAGCCTATTACGCGAGATGTTACACCAAATGAACTGTATAAGCGGATGGCTTCTTCGGTCTCCACAAAATGGCGATAGCATGCGGTTTTTCTGATAATGCACTCGCTCTTCCCTAAACGAACTATTGCTTGCCAAAGTCTATGAAGAAACCCCGCTTGATCACGCTAGGAGAAAATGAAATTGGAGCGGATTAACTAATAAATACAATTATGTCAAGCGGGCTTATAACTGGAAGTTACTCACCGGGGTGTTGCTTCGATGCGGCTTGGGCGCTTTGATGCTGCGGTGCGACTTCTGGCGGATTCTCTGGGGCCCCAGAGATGCGTTCCTGTCCGGTGATGCGATGGAAGAGAGCGGTGCGCGACTATTTCTCACACAAAGTGAGGCGGTTACTCCCGGAACTCGACTGCTCCGGGCTAATGCGGTTGAACTAGCGGTGCGCGTGGGCAAAGCCCTCTAGGACTCGACTGTCCTAGGCGGTGTGGTTCCAACTGGTGCGCGAAGGGAAGAGCCCTCTAGGACGCGACTGTCCTAGGCGATGTGGTTCCAACTAGCGGCCGAAGGGAAGAGAGCGCGCGTGGGCCGCGCGCGCGTTTATATTACTTCGGTTGTGAAGATCACGTGACATTCTAGCACTACCTTCTTTCCCCTCTCACCCCACCACCCCGGTGTGTCGATAGGACGGTAGGTTTTTTGGAAAGGACAAACGCTTTGGCAAGCTTACCCTCGAATAAAATAAAATATGAATGGTTTTCCGCGCAACCAAGGTATAATATATTAATATAGGTCTCTACCTATGAAATAGCCGTTTTTTTATGAAATAAAGTAATTTTTTTCTAAGCATATATTTTATTTCGATTATTCAATCACCCATGCAACTGATGCACCTTTGCCAACGCACTGGCAGTTTATTGATGCCCTACTTAAAGAAATCAGCTGGACGGGAGGCAACAAATTCTTCAAAGGCATTTAGTACTGTCTCTCGGGTATTGGATCTTTTTAAAAAGTTATCCAGATTCTTATTAGGTGCTCTAAAATTTTCACCGCAGCGAACGGTTGTTTGCGTTGCTCGCAAAACGTATCGCTAGCAACGCAGTGACGATAATAGATATACGATAAATATAAGTGCTGTAAGTATAGGCAATGACAAGGCGCCACTAATAAAAATCAGTCAAGTCGTTATTCAGAACGAAGCACATGCAAAAAGCAGGTCTCCTAAAAATCAGAATAGAATCAAAAATTATACGTGGTAGAGCTACGCTGCAGCTATATCATGGTTGTAGCACGAATGGGTCGGCTCGACCAGGAAAGGACCACGCTCTTACTGAATTCCAGCGCAAAATAGCAGCTTAATACTGCTCTGTTTCGTATGGTAAGTATAGAGAGATCCGGAGACCCTTTTTTTACTGGAAACCAGGCAGTCCATCTTAGTCGTCAGGGGTGACAACGCATCTGCATTTTGATTCTTGATCGGGGACAAATGTAGATGTCTATGGGCCACAGCATCCACTTTCCATCAGGTGGACTGTGCTCGTTTGTGACCCTTATTCTATAAAAAAAATCAGGTATAGAATTAATTCGATAATTAAGTTCTTTCAAAAACACAACTTACTTTTATACACAGGAATATTGACACAGTTACTTCTGTAAAGGCTTCAGCGGTGCGGTAAGTACAGCTGTAGCAAATTGCTGGCATCTGTGCAGCCTGTAGCGGCTGAGGCTGGTCGCCGAAGGCGACCATTAAACTGAAGCTATGGAGGTGAGCTCTCCCTCCGCGGCTACGGCTTTACAAAAACACTAAGGGTGGGGCAGACAAGACTACGTGGAGTCGGGGCGTTCTGATTCGATTTTAGTACAGATTCGACTTATCTTGTCTATAATATATACTTATCTGATAAAAAAATAAAAAATGCCGTTCATACCTTATAGTAAGATAATGGTGGTCCTGGACCCGATAATTCCTAGAATATTACCGTCATCAACATGCGACCTCAATAATCTTTCAGCACTTATTTAGCACTTAATTCCTTACTGTTAATATTTATCGTATGGTACGTGAGGTTAATATGGTCACTTTCTTGTGACTAAAAAACTACAGGCTTATTTGCATAGGTGGCTTTGAGATACTATAACCACAATCTAATAAATCCCTTTATTATACTGTGCTATAGCTCTTCATCGGTCAATCAAAATAATAAAGGGTCAAAAGGGCGATGCTTTATTGACGCCAAACGCGAAAACAATTAGATAAAATGCATATTATAAAATAATTTATTTAGTAAAGTGAAATAATAACAGTGAATGGAAACGTGTCGGATACAATTATAAAATATTATTAAATTTTTATATTTTTATTTTACATTTAAACATTTCAAATACGTAAAACATTACGAAGGCGCTGTTATCGGTACTAATAGGGCGACGCCTGAGGCGCGGAGTGAAGGAGCGCGGCGGGAGGTAACGACATTCTTGGAATGAACAAGCAGTAGACATGTTTGTCAGAACAAATTCAGAACAGAATATGCGTCATATTCTGTGCTAAATGCATATATTATTAATAGCTATGGATCACGAGGGAGCGCACCGACGCGCCGCGCCGCCCCCGCCCGCGTATGTGCCGCGCCGCCCTCGCCCGTGTATGCGCCGCGCCGCCCCCGCCCGCGTATAAGCCGCGCCGCCCCCGCCCGCGTATGCGCCGCGCCGCCCCCGCCAGCGTAAGCGCCGCGCCGCCTCGGGTAGCTGGTACGGTAAGAATGCCACTCAGTTATATTTTCGTTTACTACAGTTAATGTTTTTAGGCAAATACGAAATAAAGGTTACATACTTATCTCAAATAAACTTCAAATCAAGTGGAGAAAGTGCTCGCAGAAATAATGACAGCGTTTTCTTAGTCACATTAAACAAAATCAGTGTTAGATTGTCAAATTGAATTGAAGAATGAAATATTTTCACACAAGCATTTCATATTTTGAAGTCTGTATTAATCCGTAGGGCCTGTGCTCACAGAGGGCACGGCAGGGCACGGCGTGGCAAGGCATACTTCGGCATGTCGAAGGATCCTGTGGCATCCTGCGTCAGACGTCAAAGACGCGCTCGTGTATCTGGCTCTCGCGCAAGTCGCTGAGATCGGGGAGGGGCGTCAAGGAGCGGTTGTTGAAGCGAGACGGGTTCTCGAGTAATCAAGCAGCTCGATCGACTTCGACTAATCAATTCTACCATCGCTCAATTGGTATGGTAGAAACTATCAATTGACGTCGACTAATCCATATCACCACGTAGAAGATGGATCGACGACATCAAAGACATAGCAGGAGATGATTGGCAAACAAAAGCGAAAGACAAAAAACAATGGTCAAAAATGGAGGAGGCCTTTACCCTGCGAGAGGGGTTCTCATTAAATTAACTGAAACTCTAATATTTTCTTTATTTTTATTTAATAGTGATAATGTCTAAATAATCAAATTATATAATGAATATTTAAATTATATTAAACATTAAAAATTACAAATTCAAATTAATAATGTATCTAAATATGAATTAATTATGTAAATAATTAATATGTTATGATTTGTTTATTATTGTTGCATGTAAACATATAATATCTATTATAAAACAGCATGAAAAATGAGAAATAAAAGGCTTATTTATTTATTTATTTATTTAATCCAATCCGTCGATCGATGCCATCGATTGACGATCCATCGAATGGCGTGGTAAAAACACCCTAAGGAATATCCCTCACTCATATTTTGCCACTCTCAGAGATGGAATTTTTTCTCCTTATTTATATTGGACATGGATATAATGAAAAAGAATCTTTAAGATCGGGTCTCGATTGGCGAAGTTACTGCGTATTGCGAGACATACCAAAAAATCCCACACACAGTCGAATTGTGAACCTCCTTCTTTTTTGAGGTTGGCTAAAAAGGGATAAGTATAGGTAATGAAACGCAACAATAGAAAGAAATGAAAGATTTAATACAGCATCAATTAATTCAGTCACTTTTCCTACATTAATAACTTAAAAACGCAAAAAGTTTCTAACATGGCAAGGAAATACTTTATTCTAATTGTGATGCATATTACTAAATATTTTATAAGTTAATGTTTTATTTTTATCAATTGAAATTATCACAGATGCTTGAGAGATCTTTAAACCTTATGTGGTAGATGATATAGTCACTTAAAAAAACTTACATGTATTGTATGCAGGAAGCTTACTATTATGGTGCACTAGCTTTATTATAATTAGTCATTACTGAAATATTTTATAATTACAGTATTAGGTTTTTGGATATGTAAGTGATCTAATAAATTACGGCTAAACTGATACTGAATATCCTAAACTTGCGATACAGTAATTATTTATATCATATGAAGGAATTTAATAATTTTAGTCATTGTTTATATTTTTTTTTACTACAGAAACCTACAGTATTAGGTTTTTAGATATGTAAGTAACCTAATAAATATGGTTTGACTGATATTTATAAGAAATATGCAAGTAACTATTATCATACAAAAATTTGAAGTTAAAAGTTCAGTTATAATTTATGTTGGTTACTTATTGCTCCTGTATATAAAAACCTTCTAACGAATGTGAAAATGAACCTTTATTGCTAGATTATGATGCATAAACATATTTTATATTTAACCTAAGATTGTAAATTATTTTCTAGATTGTAATGGACGATATTATCAGGTATTATTTTAAAGCATTTGATTACATTTTACGCTTAAATATTAATAATTAGAATACAACAATTTATTTTCTCCTTAAAGTAGAGGAAATTATCTGACAAACAATTACGCCCATAGAAGACTACAAAATAGAATAATTTTATCGTTTTATTAAGACAATAAGTGATCTGACACCATGAACTGTTTGTTATGTGCAATTGATCATAAAATATTTATTATAAGAGCGTGATTTAGAAGATATTTTAACTACTTGCAATACATCTATCCCTTAAGTTACTTTTTGTACTAAGGTATGAAGAGAGTACTTCAGACTTGCTTTTTACGTTGATTACATTTAAATTTTGACTCACGGCACTACAATTAAAACGTAAATATTAGATATAAATTGATACAATTGCGCCTATAATTTTTAATCATTTAGTAATATCTTCTTAGCTCTCAACTGACTAGCTGTTTCTTGGCACACTTAATTATTATCACAACTAACAATTTTCCGAGGAATACAGACACACAATTTAATATTAAACGTAATCAAATATAAAAAGCTAGTCGTTTCAGAACAAAGATTATCATTATGCTACAGTTTGTTAACCCAAGTATTCTAAAACCTATAATTCTCGCAACTGTTTAAAGTGCTCACCTAAAATTTTTATATTACATACGCAAATATATTTATATCAAAAGTTTAAATATATATCCACTATTCCATATCGTCTCGTGGGTTTCGTAGGGGTTGACGGAGGGAAACAAACCAGGAGATGGGCAGCAGAGTCCTCCTGATATCGACTAGAAGCGTGGCAACTATGGCTAATACGTGCCCCTATAAGGTAATCAGTGGGGGAGGCCTATGTTCTGCAGTGGACTTTAACGTGCTATAACATATAAAAATGTAATGTATCACTTGATATAGTTATTTAGATATACTTTCATAGTTAGATTTTCGATGAACCAAGTAGTACAATCTACATACACTACCACCAATACGTGTGTAAAATTTTCAACAACCGCCGAGTACTTGATTACACTAGAACTGGATGTTTTGATCTATGCGTAAATAACGTATGCGTAGCGTCCGTTGTCAACGTTCGGCAGGTCAGTGTTGAGAGTCCGTCCCCATGTGAGCAGCGGCGACACGGTGCCCACCACGGGCGCAGCGCGCGCTACACTTTTTATGATGTCCTGATGGTACAAATTTATTTCCATGCTTTATTATATTGCCATATATTGTGGGCAAAACAATACATAAATTATTTTTTTAATTTTTAATTGAAAATAATTCCTTCAAATTAAATATTAGTACGAATTTTTCATAACAGAAAATCTCTTCAACATCAGGAAATAAAGAATAATGTAATGTAACTAATGTTTTTTCTGTGAGTTTTCAGAGTTTTTGTGGTGGAATTTCTGTTTTGTGTTGTATCAGACCAACAATGTGAGAATAAATATAAACACGTTATTATTGTAATCTAATTATGATAATCCAACATAGCCCAATGGATTAGTAAGCTGAAGTAGCATTGGGCCGGCCATATAACTCGAAAAACCGATAACCGATGGGGAAGAAAGGTTCTCGAGTGGCAGCCTCGTACTGGTAGGCGTAGTGTAGGGCGACCCCCCATTATATGGAGTGACGACCTGGTAAGACATGCAGGAAGTAGATGGATGCAGTTGACTCAGGATCGTGCTTTGTGGCATTACTTGGGGGAGGCCTATGTTTAGCAGTGGACTTGTGAAGGGCTGTATATGATGATGATGATGAATTATGATAAACCGTTATCATACATTTCAAATATCATGAATAAAGTTAACGTTACCTAAAAATATAATATTGTAATGCACAAAACGAGTCATTCAATATAAATAATTGACGAAATTTTACTCGAAAATGGCATGGCACAAAACCATCTTTTTAACTTAATAAATTCCTAGCAATGCTATTCACACTACTAATATTCCCTGTAACCACTAATTGTAATCTTAAAATGCTTGTGTTAGGAGTAGTTCACGACAGTAGTCGAATACATGATTGTAAGCTCTTATTTAAAAAAAAAATAGTCCCGCTGGGTTTCTTGCTGGTTCTTCCCAGGACAGATTTTTTTTTGTGAACCAGCGGTAAATGAAAAAAAAGTGACTCAATAAGTATCATTGATAATCCATATTGAATAAAAAGTTTCTGTTTCTGTTTCAAAATAGTAAGACAATATCAATGACCAGTGGCGAAGCTAGGGCTCCAAACTAGGGCAAGCCCAAGATAATGGTTTTGTTGTTTTTAGCAGGTTTAAAAATACACCAATCTTGATCTATGTCCACTCTTCAGTTTTATAATCAGTTCTGTCGAGGACGTGTTTAACGAAGTACACCTTCGGTGGCTTTGAAATAACCCGTTTGGGTTTGCTTTAGCGAAAGAAAAAGATATTTACATACAATACAATACACGAACAAAAGAAAAGCATGAACTAAATACAATATACAAAATTAAAAAAAAATATTTATATTCTTAATCGAATCGTCTCTCTTTCTTAAGGAAAGATTTAATTATGTCCGCGTAATATGTAGTGAACGTTTTAATAGTACTAATAACTGTTTTTCAATCGCGATAATTGATAAATCTGAAAGACGCTCTTGACCTTGTGTATTTCTCAAATAAGTATTAATGCGCTTCAGAGATGAGAAAGCACGTTCCGCTGAGGTACTTGTGGCTGGAATATTTTTTTTACAAGATAAGCTAAGTTTAAAAGCTGGGCAAAGGCCTCTTCAAGACTATTTTCGTTTATAAAGTCAATGAGTTCGAAAACATTGCGGTCTTTTAATTCAGGGGAGGAATACAATGAAATCAATTGGTTTTTCAATGTTTGTTTATCAAAATGGTTTGCGCAATTTTCAAATAATGAATCTAATGCCTCTAAAGGAAAATCTGAACGATGTTTTTCGAATAGTTTGTTGTTGAACAATTGGAAAATTTTTAATTTCAGTATATCGGTCATTAATTTCTGAAGATATGTTATCAATTATTTCAACAAAAAGTCGTTTGTATTCTGTCTGAGCACAGCGCACATTGCGTCTCAAACGAGGAGCAGAGTTATTTTGTAATGTGTTTTCATAAATGTGATCAAAATCTGACTGAAATTCAGTACTTAACCATGTCTGAAACTCCTTTATTTTATTACTGCAATAACCGACATCAACTTAGATTTTTGTAAAATTTTGTACAAGCAGTCGGTTTTTTCAAATACCCGGTGGAAAATTGAAATTAAATGAACCCAATGTGTTTTCAAAATTCTCGGCGACCAAAATCGTATCGCCGTCTCAGTTCTGCGGATTGTTGCACATATCCGAAAACGAATTAATCAGATTATCTTTTTTGTTCAAATACTGTATTCACAATTCGTAACGTATACACCCAAAGATTTGCGGGGGCATTAGGCAATTTTTGCTGTAATGTGCATCATATGACCGTTTTGTGCTGTTATTAAAAAAAAATAAAGCCTGAAGGGCTGAAAAAAGTGCTGACTTCCCCAATCCTAAATAATAAATATAAAAAATAAATACAAAAATAATATAAAAATATAAGATAATAAAACTAATGCCAAAATATGCTGTCGTACTTATTGGTATGAGAGTAGCCATCAATCCAATGAGTTTTGTAAACAGATCTATTAAATTGCCGTTTGTGTGTTTTACTCGTCTGAGAAATGCACAGATTAGGCTTTGGTTTCGGCAAGGATATAAGCCGTTTTTTCTCAACAAAGTTTAAAGATTTTACCTTTTACTCGCCGATTAGCAATTTAACACACTTCAATTCATCACAAAAAACAATCTTTCCCTCCATTCTCACTAAAAATCTTTAAAAAATCATAAATTTTCAACTCGCAATATTTTATATAATACATTCGCTCAAGCTCAACACACAATGTAAACATAGAAATGTGAAGTGAACTTGCAAACGTATCGTCGCCCGCGCGCCTCCGCTCTTGACTAACTTCATACCTAACGTGACCATACGTCCCACTTTAGGCGGGATTCCCGATTTAAAGGTTTGTGTCCCGCTGTCCCCAAAATACGTAAAATGTCCCGCTTTGATAAACAAAAGCGTAGCATCATGCAAACTCTGTTACTCGTGCCATCATTATGACACCGCGCGTACCAGGTTTGCCAGCATGGCTTGACTAGTTACGTGATTATTCTGAAAAGCTACACTTTTGAAAAAGCCCACGCGTGCGTGAGAGACAACTAATCGCTCAATTCAACTCTCCTTATATGTATGACAGCAGTATCACTAAGGCTACGAGGTCATGACCTGTGTCGAACATAGGAGCACGCGGGGAATTTGAAATAGTTTGAAACAGTTTACGAGTTATTTTATATCTTGATAGTATTGATTGATTCAGTTTGATAAGGCAAGCCGAGCTTCTCGGCTTCTATGTAGGCTTCACTACTGTCAATGTCCTATATGTAGTGCACGAGACAGTGAAAGGGTTAATACTACATATTGTATAGCATACCATACTGGTTATGGTACGCTACTAGGTTGGTCTGAAAAGTTTCCCACCTCAGCGCCAAGGTAGCAGCACTCGTCAATAAAAGCTAGTAAATGTAGTTGTGCATCTTTTGACAGTTACGCTCCAAAATTTCAGCCATTTTGGATGCGTTTTCCCATTTTCACAAATACTCACTCAAACGACTGACAAATAACACATTTATTTGTCAGTCGTTTGAGTGAGTGATTTTGTGAAAATGGAAAAAATTGAGTATAGAGCTGTCATAAAATCTTTGTTTTTGAAAGGCAATTACGCATACGCAAATCCTAGATTAGTTAGACTCTGCACCATCCTTTACCATAGTGAAATTTTGGGCAGTTGAATTTAAACGTGGCTGTGAGATCTTGAGAGACGATGAACGTTCGGGATGTTCAAAAACTGCAACGACTGATGATAACATCGTTAAAGTTCACCAAATGGTGCTAGACGACCGCCGAATTAAAGTAAGAGAGATATCTTCAAAAAGGAAAAACCATTATAGGAACGTACTACGCATCATGCCTGATAAACTGGAGCCAACCATCTATAGCCAACCCATTTCTGGGTTGGCTATAGATGGTTGGTATTTGATTTTAATAATGTTTTAGTTTAGGAGGCTTGTTAAGGTTAAGCTTGAACCTATTACCCTGTTTTTAGATGTCGGAAATGCGTTTTGAATTAATTACGAAAAAAATAAATTCCATTAAATATTTCTTATAACAAAACGCAAATATGTCAATTTGGTCTAGTATTATGAAGTAGACGTTCGGTACTTGATTTTTTAATTTTGTTTTCAATTTAGAAGATTTGTCAGGGATAAGCTTGAATTTTTTACACTGGTTTTGGATTTCGGAAATTTCTTTTGAATTAATTACGATATAAATAAATTTCACTAAAAATAGCATATAACGAAACGCAAATATGTCAATTTGTTTTCTTTTAACACGGATTAACCCATAAAACAGTTAATCACTCGGACCCAGACAATTCATTTGTGGCTGAAAACGGAACCCATTATATCAAAATTGAGTCGCTGTGTTTACACATAAAAATTCTTGACTTTTTCAAGAAAGTCAAGAATTTTTACAGAAAACAAAATTAAAACAATTCACATAACATTGTTTCATTTACCACTAACTCAGCAGAGTTTAGGGCAACCTTACTTTACAGATAAAATTAGTCGAATCTGGTCTAAAACCGAATCAGCACGCCCTGATTCCATGTAGTCTTGTCCGCCCCACCCCTAGAAAGTTTTTGTAAAGGCGTGGGCGCAGAGGGAGAGCAGCCCCGCCCGCCGTAGCAAATTGCAGGCATCCGTGCGAGCCGTAGCGGCTGAGGCTGGTTGCCGAAAGCGACTAATAAGTTAACAGCAGAAATTGCGGAAAAAGGGTTACATTAGCAGAAAAAGTAAATCCACCGTGACAACGCGCCGACTCACGCAACAGCGGTTGGCATGGCGAAAATCCACGAATTACGGTTCGAACTGCTTGACCATTCGTCTTACCAGATCCAGCCCCAAGCGATTTCTTTTTATTCCCGCATCTAAAAATTACGCACGGAGGACAGAGATTTTCGTAAAATGAGAAGGAAGGAAAAACGCTGAGTACTATTTGGAAGGGTTAGAGGCTCTAACCCGTCTAAATAGTACTCGGCGTTTTTCCAGGACATTTTTCAAACCAGGATCCCGAATTTCGAAAATACCGGGATACCGCACTGAAACGAAAGGTTTAAAATACCGAGATTGAGGGAAAGGAAAGCGATATTTACTTTTTTTCGGTATTTCATTATAAATCTATGTTAAATAATGTAATGTCTAATAAAAAATTAAACATTTGGAAGACAAGCGGCACTTTTCCACCATGGTATACAGAGCAAGGCGTTGCTGGTGGAAAATTGCCGCAAACAGCTCTATAAAAAAGAAAACAGTTCCCATACTCAACTAAGCTAACTGGAAGACGATGATTCTTATGAGTCTACTTCAGAATGTTATGAGAAGATTACTATGATAAGGGTTTTAATTTGACTGTGAGACCACAAAGATCAAATCAAGGAATTTATCTTCAAAGAATTAATCGAAAAAGTACGAAAAGTTGCGAAACTGCAGAAATATGTAAATCAAGAAATAATACATGAGCTGTTTGATTTTAGATTTTAGGACCAGTGGAATAGTTAAGAAGATACGTTAGTAATATTTGTCAAACTCAAAATTCCTATCAAGAGGCGCTGATAGATTTAAATAAGGACCTGCAAATGTCTAAGAATTAGTTCAAAAAACTGGTTGATCTCAGCAATGTATTCGTAATCCTAAAAGCGACAGTCGAAGAACTTCGAAAAAAAAACGCCAACGTGATGACGTCTGACGCGGCTTTGATGTTTATGCTCAAAAAATTAGAAGCTGTGCATCATGAACCAATTTCTCGTGAACTTCTCCGATCTTTGAAGCAAAGGATTAAAGAGCGCAGGTTGTTCGTGGCTTCAACTCTGAATTATTTGCATGATCCTAAATCATATTTTGATTCATCAGATGATGACTACTACGACATCTTTCTAAGGCCAAATGGCCACGAAATGCGAAAACATATTGCAGATCTACATCAGCTTGGTTAGACTCAGGCTACGGAACGTACGATTGACGTTTCTTTTTCTACTACAGACGCGGAGAAAGGAATGACGAATCTGACACACTATCGCTCAAAAAGCAATTAGAAAGGGCAGTTCAAAAGAACTTGGGGGTCATTGTAGAAGCGTGCTCGTCGCGACCCCTGCCAGCCCTTTTCAGGGCTGCAATTCTACACAGCTGCGCACCCATGCAAACGGGAGTTAGGGCGTCCCCCCAAGGCGACGCACACCAGCTCGTCCCCGTTGGTGTGGAATGCAGCGCGCAAAGCGACGATGGGGACCGCCACCCGTCACGCACAGCCCGACACGGCGGAAGGTGGAGGACGGAGTGGAGAGTTGGCACGTGGAATGTTAGAGGGGGCATGAGAGATAAGACGAATGAGTTGATCGAAATTATGAAAGAAAGAGAATTAGATGTAGTGTGTATGTCGGAGACCAAACGGAAAGGCAGTGGTACTGAAGAGCTCCCTGGCGGGACGTTAGCTATATGGTCCGGAGTCCCGGAAAGCGAGAACGCCTGCCAGGGAGTGGGGGTGCTGTTGTCGTCCCGGTTGGTCGATCTTATGACTGAATACAAGGTCGTGAACTCAAGACTTCTCTGGGTTCGCTTTAAATTGGGACTGACGAAGTTATTCCTTTTGGCTGTTTATGCACCAGTAGCTTCGTCGTCCAGAGCTGAGCTGGAGGAGTTTTGGGAGAATGTAAGAGAAGTCTGGGGAAACGAAAGAACTGTTGTATGTGGTGATTTGAATGGATGGGTAGGTATCGCTCGACCAGGATACGAGTCGGTTCTTGGAAAGTTTGGCGATAAAAGGGTTAATGATGCTGGCAAACTTATACTGGCTGTATGCAAGGAAAAGGGTCTTCTTGTGACAAACACTATGTTTAATCACAGGAAAATCCATATGTACACTAGAGAAAGAAAGAATGAGAGAAGTATGATTGATTTGTTCCTGGTGGATGACCGACTGCGAAAACAGGTGATGGATACACGAGTGTTCAGGGGTGCTGACCTGGGAACGGATCACTATCTAGTAATTACTAGATTTAAGGGGTTTGTTCACGGGTTGGCGCTACCGGACGGCAGTAACAGAACCACAGTCGGTCTGTCGCATCCGAAGCTGGAAGCTTCAGGAAGCGGATACTAGGGACAAATATCACACGAGGGTAGCCGAAAAGCTTGACACCATCGATGGCAGGAAAGAATGTGTGGAGAGAACAAGGCAGAACCTTAGGGATGGAATGGTAAGTGCAGCGGAAGAAGTATGTGGAACGACAAAAAGAGGTAGTAGTAAAAGAAGAGATGCATGGTGGAATGAAGTGAGAGAAGCTGTAAAAAAGAAGAAAAAAGCATGGTTAGACTACTTGGCCTCTAGTAACGATAAGCATATGAGAGAGAAGATGAAAGAAAGATATAAGCTGCAGAAAGTTCATGCGAAAACATTGATTGAGGAAGTACGTGAAAGGTGTAGAACAGAAGCGGACGAGAGGTTGTCGCGCAACTTTAAGGAAAACTCCAAACTCTTCTGGAAAGAGGTTGGAAGGTCCCGGAGTGGTGCGACAGCCTTAAGAATGAACAAAGTGCTTTCGAGAACCAATGACGTCCTCTCAGAAAAATCGGACGTCATGCAGCGATGGAGTGAATTTTATAGAGAAATGTATGCGTGTCATGATCTTAGTGAAGGATCCGGGGGTAACGCCATGACTGGCACGCCAGACACGGACCTCGATGACACTGAGGTCATCAGCATGAAAGAGATTGAACGTGCGATTCGAAGTTTGAAATGTGGTAAGGCTGCGGGACTAGACAGAGTTACTGCTGAAATGGTCAAGTACAGTGGGCCTCGCGTCTGGGACAGCTTTCGTCTGCTGTGCAACTTGTGCTGGCGGGCGGGAGATGTCCCGGATGATTGGCGATCCGCGGTCATTGTGCCTTTATATAAAGGTAAAGGTTCACATTTTGTCTGCGGGTGCTATCGGGCGATCAGCTTGACCAGTTTAGCAAGTAAAGTTTACTCGAAGGTTTTGACACGTAGGATGCAAGAGAAATCGGAAAGATTCTTATGGGAGGCACAATGCGGATTTAGACCTGAAAGAGGATGCACGGATCAAATGTTTTCTCTCCGCATGATCACGGAAAAGCTTCTGAGTGTTAACCAGAGGATTTTCTGTGCTTTTGTGGATCTGGAGAAAGCATTTGATAAGGTTATAAGGAAGGAAATGTGGGAACTGTTGCCGGAATATGGTGTGGATGGTCGATTGTTAAGGGCTGTGCAGTCACTTTACTATGACTGTAAAGCCTGTGTGCGGGTAGGGCATGACCTGTCACCCATGTTTAGCGTCCAAGCGGGCGTAAAACAGGGTTGTGTCATGTCTTCCTGGTTGTTCATACTGTATTTCGACAGCTGTTTACAGAAGCTGAAAAATAGCTGTTTGGGTGTGAAATTGGGTGACATTAAAGTAAATTGTCTACTGTATGCTGATGATGCAGTGCTTATTGCACCATCAGAAGCAGAACTGCAGGCATTAGTCACGTGTATGAAAGAGGAATGTGAAATTAAAGGTCTCCGTTTGAATGCTAATAAAACTAAGGTTCTGGTATTTGAAAAGGACGAAGAGAGAACGAAATGTGAAATAAGGGTAAATCAGGAACGTCTAGAACAGGTAAATGAAATTGTATACTTGAGGAGTGCTTTCAGCCGGGATGGAAGATGTGATTTAGATGTGGATAGGCGTGTCGCTGCCGGAAACAAAGTCAATGGTGCCCTGAATGCATTAGTCAAAAGGCAAGGCGTGGTGAAGAGTGCACGCCTTGCAATACATAACTCAGTGTTGGTACCGACTTTGTTATATGGCAGCGAAACCTGGGTATGCCAGAAGAAGCATAAAAGCAAGTTGAATGCAGTGGAGATGCGATCTCTTCGTAAAATGTGTGGCGTTACCATAGCCGATCGAAAGCGAAACGAAGAGATTCACAATATGGCAGGATTGAAAGATGACCTTATCACAAAAATTGATAGCGGCGTACTCCAATGGTTTGGGCACGTTGAGCGAATGAGTGAAGACCGAATGGTGAAGAAAATATATAGAGCGAAAGTAAATATTAAAAGGTGTCGAGGTAGACCGAGACTAACTTTCGAAGACCATGTGAGCAAATTGCTCGAAGAGGGGAAGGTCAAGAGTACTCGGATACCTAGACGTGCATGTATGAAGAAGTTAATGAACCTGAAAGAAGCGAAAGAGGTATGTAAGGATCGTGACACTTGGCGATCTGTTCTCTCTGGCTACCCCGTTAGGGATTGTTCGTGAAGATAAGTAAGTAAGTAAGTAAATACTTATTCAGAAAATAATTCCTATAAATCATATCAATTATTATTCACTAATTAAAAATTACACTTACTTTTACGAATACTTAAACTTTTTTATTCTTATAAAGTTAACAAATCACTATTATCAACAGTCTTACTCATCTTAGCATCTAAATAACATAAGATATTTTGTGCTGCTAGATATAATGGAAAAACTTAATCATGCTTTGGTCAATTTGGGGATCAAAACAGTCGCACTTGTGGTCACTAGACCAATGAGGCAGTTATAATATATTTAAATTCCAGGTTATTAAAATGGACATGCAGATTTCCTCACAATGTTTTCCTTCACCAACAAACACTAAAATTGCAATTAACAATTTCATTGCTGCCGGCGGGGATCGAACCTGGGTTACTCGCGTACTGTGAAATTTACAGCGAGAGCTTAGGCTCTGAGCTACCACAGGTCTTCAGCTCAATAAAATATTAATACTTAATAATATTATTAAATCTCTTTGTTTGAAATTTTCGTCAAACGGTGTTATAAACTCTGAATATCTAAGAAATTATTAATTGAAAAAATCATTTTTCGTACTTTCGCGTTGTTAATATAGAAAAAACAAATTTATCATTATCACAGCTTGAGAATCACTGACTTTTACTTTAAAGATGTATCTCCTATCAGGATTACCCCACAGCGCTTATTTCCAATAAATATTAGAAACGAAGTTAGGAAGTATTGTATAGCTAAGCCATTCGCTGTTCCGTGTGCTACATATAGTTCATTGCTATTGTCTTACTTTTGTGTCTGAAAATCGGGCAGTGAAAGTGTTAACACTTGAACAAAAACGATTACTTATGTCAAAAATAAATTATTTCTGAATTATCTAACCAGGTTGCTGAAAAAATAGTTTCGGTAAATTCGAACTTCAAAAACTTGACAGGTTGACCAGTTTTAGCGACTAACATAGAATACTATAATACACAATAGAATGGCTGTCAACTTTATTTTGTACGAGGTTTGGCGTCGTGGCATAGACACGGTTGTCTTTATGCCGCATCTTGTCGAAGGTGCTGCCGCGACCATAGAATACCATAATACATACATAATAGAACGGGGGAGTGGGCGGAGCCCGTGTAGCGCCTAATATGTCAACTCACATTTATAAATGTCAACATAATCAATCGTTTTCAATTTTCGAGTCAAGCGTTGCATGCATATTATTAAAAAATGGCAAATTGAGCAATAATTACATGTTGAAACACCCGCGGGAAATGGAATTTAAATAAAGGAGACATATCCTACAACCTGTAGTTTTTTTTTTTTTTTTTTTTTTTTTGGTAAACACACACAGGTGTGCGCCACACAAAATAAGCGGGGGCTAAACTAGGCCCCAAAACAAAAAAACAAAGTCGAAACTATTTATATTTTGTGAATATTAGAAGCAAAAATAAAGAAATATTGTTGAGTCAAAAACATTAATCAAAAGTCTAAAATGTGTAAATTGCTCAGTCTGGCAATACAGCGAACCGAGGGTGTAGTAGTGATAATACGACGTAATTGCTTGTATGTGTGCTCCCGGCGACACCAGTCATCGTACAAAATAAGGTTGACAGCCATTCTGTTGTGTATTATAGTATTCTATGGCCGCGACATTAAAAGTCGCCGCGTACGGCATACAACCGCAGGAAAATATAGCACTTTAAAACTAAGCGCCCGTAGTGAAAGGTTATTTGCTACCTAACTTGTGTTTATTATTTATATTCGCTATTTATTAAAATAACCATATGAACTAAATTGTATTCTATTTTATTCTTAGAATAGAAAAACATTTATTTAACAATCGCAGTAGAAAATAGTTAAATAAAAGATAAATAATAAGTAAGCCAACAGGTGTACCGATACTATCTTAGCGAACAGAGTACATATGTCGCTGCGTTTGTTAGAAATTTAAATAAAGCGGAATATACCTATTTTCGTTATTTTTTGCATCTTTGCACCCTATATTGTAGGAGCATACCATGTTATGCAAGTGAATGATAGAGGTTACGTGACAAAATTAGTAAACATGCGGAAAGCATTAGTATGAGTGTTAAATACCACTTTCTTGTTCTCTTTGTGTTATGATATTTATTAACGTATGTAGGTATAATTTTACCCCCTATTTTATACTATTTAATTATTTTCTCATTTAATCCATTCTGCAAACTTAGGCCATAAATTTCTTTACAAAACTAAATCATTTATATAATAACCCCTGGGAAGGGTGATCGCTACCAAGCTATTTCTAATTTGTTTTGTGTTGTTAATTGTAACACGCATGATTGTAAGCTCTTTTTTTTAAACTAGTCCCATTGGGTTTCTTGCTGGTTCTTCCCAGGACAGAGGTTTTATTGCGAACCAGTGGTAAATGAACAAAGTGACTTTCAATAAGTATTATTCATAATCTATATTGAATAAAAAAGTTTCCGTTTCTGTTTCGAGAGCTTACTGTGCGTAATTTTGTGTTTGTCTTCTTATTTTGTGACTCGGCTTTAACCGTTTGGACTATTTCTTCTATATTCGTTGAAGCATGTGCCCATGTTACATAGGATGATTGGGCAAAAGTGGTAGAAAAAACAAAAATATTGATTATGGATGACTTTGAAAGAGACATCAATCATTATTGAAAATCAAATAATAATTAATATAAACAACGACATCTCTACTAATTGTACTGAAAGTGATTGAATAAATTTATTTTTAATCAAGTTTCGATCTTAAATTTTTTAAGTGTGCCTCTAGAAATAAGCAGTAACAACAAATACGAAGAAACTGATAAATCTTGTGTTTTAAATTATCCGTTTTTAATTTATTCTGGTATTATTCAAACCAAACTGTAAATGATTACCAACTCTAAATAATCGATATCGATTTTTTTTAAGAATCGAATATTGTACGTTCCCAATTTTTGGTTGGCATGCTTGGTGCAATAAATCGGACAGCTGTCAAAATGTATTTCTTAGATTTGGTTGACTATAGCTTACGATTTGGGGTCCCACTTGGGGTTGCGTAACACAGTTTGAGAAACGATGTTTTGAATGATCATTTGTATTTCCTAACAGCGTTAGATTTGTCGGAACAGTGATTTTCCTTTAATAATAAAATTGGCATCACTAGTGAGAAATAAAGAGAACAAGACGGTGGCGTATGTCAGACACACCATGTTACCCATGAGGGTTGGGCGCCGCCGGCCTGAGCGTCGGCCGCGGCACCGACAGCGGCGGCGCCAGCCCGCGCGCCCGTACCCGCCACTCCGAGCGCGGCCCACCTCGCGCGGCCCCGCGTACTGTTCGCTGCCTACCGCCGCTGGCGAGAGCTCCGCACCCTCACTTCTCGCACTTGCGACTCTACTCGCACCCACCGCGCTGGATTCAGCCGAACGGTTCTCGATCATGTGCGATTCCATGGAGTCCAGCGGTGATTCCGAGCTAAGGACAAGAAATCGCCACTGTTTATTTGGTCTAACACAAACCTGCAATCATTTATATGTGGAATATTTGAAAATCATGGAATCTTTTATATTTTATATATTTTGACACATTGCAGCTTTACCATGGTCAGATGAGTTGGCTCGATCGGGGAAGAACCACTTTCACAGCATATCATCGTTAAATGACAACAAATGATGCTTCTTTATTAAGTATGTAAATTATTAAAATGGTTCAAATTCAATTATGTAAAGATCGATGGTGGTTTTTAGGGGCCACAAGTTCCAGTTGTCATAAGGTGTATTGTATTCGTCTAATATCTTTGTCTAAAGAAAAAGAACTTACTACAAACTGCTTCCCGTCTCCTGTACCGATTTGGGTTTCGTGGAAAAATAATATAAGGTTTTTTTTTTAAATGAGGCAGGGTGTAAGTGTTTTATCTAGGTAATATTTTTTCGTCAACTTTCAGGATACGCAGTACAATGTCCGCAATCCAGACTAGACTTTACAAAGCGTCATGCACACGTCGATCAATAAAAAAATTACTGAATAATGTGACAAAAAGTGAAAGAAAGTTATTTGTTTATTAGCTTTTAATCTACTTTATAAGCTGCTATCGAACAAATATCAAGATATTTTTAGGCATTGTTTACAATTGTCTATCTTAAGGTCAACCTTTGGCCTCCATTCCAACTGTATTTATAAGTTTATCGATTGCATTTATAATCAATTTATTTAGTTAATTCCTTCGTGATAAAGTTGAAATTTTTTATTCACATCGGTTTTGACTGATACTAAAAGAAAATGTTCATGAAAAGTATTACTATTGTATTTTTTTAATAACTATTGCAATGACCAAAATGTGTGATTAAAATGTTTTTAAATTTACTGATTTTGGTATAATATACTTTAGGGATAGTATTCTGATAATGGCCATATTTAGTTCTGTAGTAATTCATTAAGATCGCTATTATCATCATTATTACAATACATAATAATCCGTTGCTATATATCACCATGAGCATTATAGTTCATGATAAGTCCATTGCTCAGCAAAGGTAAGTCATAAAGGTAACTAATTATTCTTCTTTCACCTCGAAACCTCGTCGTCTCGTAGGATTTGACGAATTTAAATGTCGAGAAAAGCGCGTTGTCACTTGTCTCTGACAAATGTTGCAATAAATTTAAAAAAAGACGCTCCTACAATTTAAAATGTGGGAAAGAGGATAACGTCGTAAACAACGTCAAGGTTGTGAAAAAACGACACAAAGATAATAGTTGTGTTGATGAAGTAGAATAAAATAATAATAATAAAAAAGAAAAAGGTTGTTATGATGAAAGAAAGAAAGAAATGGGAAAAATGGATGACTATAATAAAGACAAAGAAGCCTAAAATAATAATAATTAAATTAACTGTCTCTAATAGATATAATACCGTCACTATTGTAGGCCTTACACGAGTAAAGGTGTAATTTAGTTTTATTATACTTAATATGAGTTCATATACGCATTTAATGTCCGTGATATGCGTATGAAGCAGTGAAACTGTTACTAAAAAGATATTTAAAACAAAAGTTTAAAATAGCGATACTATTAGCAAATTGAAACTAAATAATAAATTTTATTTTACGATAAAACTGAACAGGTTTCTAAAAAATATTTCCGTCAAATTGTTTCTCTAAAGTTCTAAAGAATATATTTTTCTAAATGACATCTATTTAGAAAACTTTAAAGCATATTGATGTAAGCATACTTGGCGCTGACTGCGCAGTACTCGCTCAGCTGTTCCCAGGTGCATCCGTACGTGCAACACTCGTCAGCAATACCGGTTTGTCGCCTCCGCCGGACCACAGCGGCTGGTTGCTCGACCACTGTAACACAAACGTCTTTACTTTTATTTTAAGTATTAGTAATTAGTGTTGGTCTTAATATAGTCGGTCTTATAATATGGTCTTATAATATATAGTAATTTTTTTAATTAGTTGCCTTGCCTCAACTTTTAAATAGTTATCTTGTGCATTAAAATCTAGTTACGAGTCAGTTTTAAGGAAACTGGTGACCTTAAAAGGGCTTTGACGATGATAACTGTTATGGAATCGGAAGAAAATCCGTCACCCCGTTTTGTCATATGGGTTTAGTAAGACGAGCCTATGAGAAATGCTAGAAAATTTAAGATAAGAGGATCTTCAAATTCAACCGATACGATACACACGGCGGACCAAAATGGAGTGCAGATTTTACTAACGCTGTCACCGATACTCAGTTAGAAAATTGGTTATGGTATAAAATATGCGGTCATTGTGATTTCATAATTTATTTATTTTTTAAATATATTATTTATATACCGTAATTATATATCAGTAATTATATAAATTATACAATAATGTAATTAATCCAATAAATAATGTAATTAACCCAAGATTATCCGATTCATAGGGCAAGTAAGCAAGTTTAGGGGCCGAGGCGAGTTTGTGTTTATTACTATTAACTTGTAACATAGTATTGGTTATTGAGTATAATCCGCATTTTATGCACAAGTAATTAACATGCCCTTCGCATAGCCCTTTGACTGTTTCAATTTACATTACAATATGAAAGCCTGTTAAGCTTATCGCAATTGCATATAAGAACATAATTGTATTTGTAAGGAGGCAAGATAGTAGGAGCTCGTAAATTGTAGCTTTAAGATAGGGGAGATCATTATAGGAACGAATCGAAGGATACAGTGAACCATTGTTATAAATTTTTGTGTATTTTCTTTCATTTCGTTTCATTATTATCGTTTAATCTCAGACTAAATACAATAAGAGTGTGTACAGTTCAACCATCAACATCAACAATTCAATATGACTATCAACCATAAGTCGTGTCATACATACACATACCAAAATTTAAGAATGGTCTAGTGTATCTGTTTTTGCATGGATACGTAGATATGTGTTATGTTTAAATAATGATGGAAGTGACTTCATCATCAAACTGTTTAAATTGTGATGGAAGTGATTTATGTAAGCTTAATAAGACATTGACTACCAATGTAGAGTGACTACCAGAAGCAAGACGACACGATTGTCTTCAATAGTGTTTGCTCGTCGTGATGAGGTTCGAAAATAAAAAAAATAATGAAATAGACAGGGAAAAGTGGAGATGTCTAAGTAATATGCGAACCTAGATACAGTGATGAGAATAAGAAAATGGTATGTACCATTACGAAAGTACACCCAATACCTAATCTCGTCAAAATAATATCAGATTGCAAAACTTACAATCTAAGAAACGTGTGCCTATTTTGTGGATCTTTAATACTAATCGGTTGGATACTTTTACAAATTTGTTTGTATTTTAGTTAAATGAATGTATAAACTCAAAAGGTCGTGGTTTCGAATCTGCCATTCGATTACTGTCGTGGACCACTCCTAATACAAGCATTTTAAATTTATCACTGGCACTGCGAAGAGATGTTGCATTTCTTTGCGTATTTTATCGCATCTACCAGCCGCACAGTTTCACCATCGCACATCTCGATAAAACTCGCTATACCATCCATACCATCTGGATGACTGGCGTTCCACCACCGTGCGATTTAAAAGAAGTTTTTTTTTTAATAGAAAAGGGGCAAACGAGCATGCGGCTCACCTGATGTTAAGTGACTACCGCCGCCCATGATCAACCGCAACACCAGGGGAATTACAGGTGCGTTGCCGGCCCTTTAGAAAGGAACTTGAAGAAAATTGTATCTTTTGGGGGTTAAACTGGACTAGATTTAGTCGCCCCCAATCCGAGACTCTGTTCAGTAAAGACTCGACTTCAGACACAAGTTTGTCCCGGTACTCGGAGATGTTTTCCCGAGAAATATTGGCACTGCCGGTGTAAAGAGCAACACCAGTGCTGTCATCTGCATGGCAATGAATGTTACGGGTTTGCAACATTTGTATGAGGAAGAAACAGCGTTGGCGATAGCACGCAGCCTTGTGGAACACCAGCATTAATAGGCTTGTAATCGGAGCTTGCACCGTCTACAACGACCTTGATGCTTCGATCTGCAAGAAAGCTGGTGATCCAATCGCACAATTTCTCGGGAAGCCCATAGGAAGGAAGCTTCGAAAGAAGCGCTAGAAATAAATAATAAAGAAGTTTTCTTCGTCGCACAAATTCCTTGTGGAATTGACTACCACCAGAGATTTTTCCGGACCGATACGACTTAGGGACCTTCAAGAAAAGAGCCCACTCCTTTTTGAAAGGCCGGTAACGCATCTGCAATTCCCCTGGTGTTGCAGTTGTTCATGGACGGTGGTAATCACTTACCACCAGGTAAGCCGTATGCTCGTTTGCCCTCTCTCAAATAAAAAAAAGTGGTGAAAAGGAATATTAGCAATGTTCATAGCATCGATAGGTTCTTATTAAAAAAATTGTTTGTATTTATGCATGTCTTGCTAATTATTAAATTACAGGGAAGTTGTACACAATTAGTGAAACTTGTGGAGTAATAGAAGACTTACATCATTTTTAATGCGCGGAACCCAGGGGCAAGGGAATCATTTATAAGAACATATAAGATAAATGTGTAAGAAATTTTTAGTAGAATACCCTGTACCTTGGGAAACATGTAAAGCTGTTGCACCTGCGCCTGATTTATCTGCGGTCTTTTTTTCTTTTTTTTCTTATAGTATATGCTGACAAACGAGGACACAGTCCACCTGAGTGGTTGCTGTGGCATATAGACTTCTAAATCTATCCTCGATTACGAATCAATATGCAGATGCGTCGTCACCAGTGAGGGCTAAGATAGAATGCCTCGTTTCCAGTAAAAAGGGTTTCCGGTTCTCTACACTCACCATACGAAACACAGCAGCATTAAGTTACTATTTTACGCTGGTATACTGTGATACGCTGGTATGATGGGATTCTGTTCTTTCATCGGAATTACCTTTCATAGGATTAAAAGAGTGAAGAAATAGAGAGCGCCCTGTATTTGCGCACACACTCGGGTACCATAGATTATTACACTAATCAGGCACTATAATTCTGTCTTGCACAGATGGCAAATCTCCGTTAAAACTTACCGCCGTGATCGAAATTCGGTCTGAAGGGCATTATAATTATTATGTATTAAATGATGAAGACGACGGCCACAGCGACTTTAGTGGTCGAAATATTAGACGATTGTATCGTAAATACCAGCTGGAAACAAGATTTGTATGGAAAAATACTTTTTAGTTTTCGAATATGAATGTGTAGGGAGTCATCGCGAATATAACCTCTGATAGTATCCAAAAGTTGTAGTCGTAGGTCAAAGCAAACTGTCTAGAAATTCAAAATAATGAATTCTTACTGAGGTCGTGTAGAGTAAAATTCTGGAACAAATATATTTTTTAAATAGAATAGGATGATAAACGAACACACAATCCACCTCATCCATCCTCAATTAAGCATCAAAATGCAGATGCGTTGACACCCCTGAGGACTAAGAAGAAATGCCTCGTTTTCAGTAAAAAAGGTTTCTGGTTGTCTACACTCACCATACGAAACACAGCAGCATTAAGCTGCTATTTTACGCTGGTATTCTGTGAGGGCATGTTCCTATCCCGCTCGAGCCAACTCATTCGTGCTACAACCATAATATAGCTGCAGCGCGGTTCTAAGACGTATATTCGTGATTCTATATTCTCTTCCCTCAAAGGTCGAAATAATTTTCCCTCATTACAGCCTTTAAATAGTCCGTTGCTGAACATCAACTTCTTCCATAGATTGCCTCATAGGTAGAGTTTGATCACAATAGATCTTTTTTTCTTCTAGATTTGATCACAATAGATCTTTTAAGTCGTAGTGATACTGGTCTCTTTCCCTAGACCTGCATAGCTGCTCGCACATAATAGAGTTGGCAACCGCAGAACTATCGCTCATCTACTGCTGCATTTCCTTCTGTCGCCTATCCGACACCTACGGGATGATATTATGGGTATTGTAAGTGGATTTTCTTATGCCGCCACTACACACGAGTAATTTTTTTACTTTGCTTATTTATTCTAAAACTACGACCGTCAGGCAAAATTGTCACGGAATAGTTTCGTGTAGAGTAGTAGAGATAAGGGCAGAATGTGGGGTCATATTAAATAAGAGGACGTGCACTTAAGTGGCCGCTTGTTTTCCTGTGATTATGAGATGTAAACAATCAAGAGGTCGCTGAATGCAATGATAAAAATGAGCTACAAATGTTGTACACTTGTTGAAGCTGCTTCTATGAGATTTAATATACTAACATTTTCCGTGTCTGATTGCTTAAAGAATTATGCCGATCATTAACATCCTCACGTTAATCCCTACATAATACGAGGGGAGGTCAAAAAGTTCGCAATAATGACAGGGAGAGATAACGAAATTGAAACATTAAATAAACTATTTTTCCTTTTCAGTGTATTAGATACCCTAATACATTTATTAGATCTGTCAAATAACTTATTAATACTTAAAAAAAAAAAGATTTGTCTTGGGAGTCAAAATAGGCCGAAATTGCCTACTTCACTTCATCATCGTCGCCAAATTTGTTACCACGCAGTTCTTTCTTCATTTTTGGAAAAAATAATAGTCGCTTGAGGTCAGGTCTGGGCTGTTTTTTTATAGTATAGTGTGACAAACGAGCACACAGTCCACCTGATGGTAAGTGGTTGCTGTGGCCCACAGACATCTACATCTATCCTCGATTACGAATCAAATGCAGGTGCGTTGTCACCCGTGAGGACTGAGATGGAATGCCTCATATCCGGTAAAAATGGTCTCCGGTTATCTATACTCACCATACGAAACACAGCAGCATTAAGCTACTATTTTACGCTGATATTCTGTGAGAGCGTGGTCCTTCCCCAGTGGAGCC